AAGTGAAATTTAAATATTATTTGATAAATATCTACTTGTTTTTGTCGATCACGACTTGCAACCTCACCAATCATTTGCTTGACAGGACGACCGGAGCCTGTTTTAGAATATTTCATAAGATGATATTGTACTTCTACATTATCCTTATGTTCACAACGCTTCCTTTTTAATTTTATTTGTACCGCTTCTTTCCATATTCCCTAAACAAGAAAAATCAGATTTACGATGGATGTATTTTTTATTAAGTAGTAACATTTAAAACACAATATTTATTCAATTTATGAGATAACAAATATATCAAAGCTTAATCAAAGAGAAAATTTTATATCAATACATGTCCATCAACAATACATTAATATACATGGCATAATAGGATATTAAGAAAAAAAACTTACTAAATTATCTTTGGTAAAAGGTAGTTTTAATAAACCAACAATCGCTGATCCAATAGCATCGAATTGTTTATGACTAGGATAACTAAATGTAAAAGAAATATATCAATTAGTAATTATTACGTTAGAATAAATAGATATTTATTTTCTTTTTGAATTTTTTTCAAATGACTTACATTATTTTTCGATTTAAAGAATTTATCAAGATAGCTAATGTTATAGTTAATGTAAATCAAAGCATAGGACTCAAATATAAATAACTAATGATGTTTGTTATTTAAAGAAAATATATCGCAAGCAACATATGGACTCGTATAAACATTTTATTGAAGTAATACTGACAAAATATTAATGAACAATAAATTTTATAATAAATATGTTGATTATGATAGTTTAAATTTCAATATGTTGAAAAGAATAAATAATCAAATGTACGATGATGGACAATACGATAGTTTATATAAATATGAACATTTACAATATATTCATACGAACAGTATAAATCTTTATATTACTTACAATAAATTGTATGTATTGATTAAGTCATAAGTTATTGCATCAATATGAACTTGACGATTAGCATGATGTGATCCAAATTTATGAAGTGCACCAGCTTCTATATCTTGTAATAGAGATGGTGGTAATTGTGGAATAACATATTCAGATGGAAATATCGAATTGATGTATTCTTTCACCGACACTTCATCTAATGTTTGATCATGAATATCTGTATTTGATGAAGTATTCATAGTATTATTATCCGACGATGAAGATAAAGAAGAAAAATTAAGATCTTTTGAAATAACTGATGACGAATCATTATTTAAAAGAGATTCATTATTAATTGACTTGAACAGTTTTTCACGTTCTTTTAAAAATAATAGCTGATACTTCAGTTTTGGAATTAACTTGGCCACTTTGTCAATGCTGTCCATCATTTCAAGAGTTTCACCATCAATTTCATTTTCTAAAATTAAAAAGATATCTTTTATATGTTAAAAAATCGAAAAATTCCTGATAAAATTTAAATTAAATAAGTAGAAGAAATTTCGTAAAGGAAGAAAGTTAAAAAAAGAATGATATCGAAAATTTTCTTATTAGTTTAAATAGTTTAATGTAAAGTTAAACGAGCTGTAAATGTAACAAAAGTTGAATTATCAATCTCATAAATGTCAAGTCCTTTGTAATAATATTTCATCGAGCATGGATCTAATATATCATATTTATCCATAGACTTAATTTCCCAAGCACATAGTTTATCATCGTAACCAATGGTTGCCAACATATCGACTAATAACCATCATTTGTGCGTAAGTTTAATAATATTTACTACTTGAACAAATTTTGGTGTTTCAGTTAAATTCATTAAAGATATGATATAGACACTAGAACGACAATATTCAATATTTTCATAACGAAATTTATGACACTGAAGTAGATCCTTTGACATGTCTTTATTACCAAAGTGACTGATTATGGCACATTTCATTTCATTATTAAAAATATTATTTTTAATTTTTTGTATTTTAATAGCTTGATCATTATGATTAAGTTGAGCCATCTTAAATGATGAAAATGCTTGTTTTAATCGATAACGAGTAGCCAAAGTTTTTTGCAAATTTTTATAATTATTGGTTCAAAGTGCTATTTTTTTGAAGTAAAAATGGTACGATTCATAACGCATCGACTATTGTTTAATTGCAGGACCATAGTCACTAATTACTTGATCATATTCCGTGCAATAGTGGACTTTAGGTACAATTTGTCGTGGCAAATGTTCTATCATTGAACGTTGAAAAGCATGTGATAAATCACGAAGTATTGGTAACCAATGCTTTCTGAATGGCATAGAAAGAACTAGATCACCTATTTCTCTCAGTTGCTTATAAACAATGAAAGATGGTAGTTTATCTACCACATCGAAAAATATTATAGGAAACAACTTGAATAGGCACAACTTTTGCGATGCA